AACCCTAAACCCTAAACCCTAAACCCCTAAGCCCCAGAACAGAACCCCAAGCTCCAAGACCCGAAGTTTTTGGCCAGGGCGCGGCCGGGAGCGTGGCCGCGCCGGCAGGTGGGCCTCTCGTGAGCTCAGGGTTGATGTTGAGGGTTTAGGGTTTAGGGAATAGGTTTAGGGCTGTAGGCCCTAAATCGCTAAACCCCTAAACCCCCAAAATGGGCCTGGGGTCCTGATGATACGGGAAGCCTACTACGTGGGGGACTCTCTTGGGGGTCCCTTCTTTTCGTAAACACCCGAAACCCCTAGGCGCCTAAACCCGGACATCCTAAAACCCCGAAAACCCCGAGACCCTTAAACAACTGCTCACCTGTGGATGCAACGAGGGTGGAGTTCATGCTGTGTGTGATCGACACGTTCCGAATCCAACGCAACCATATTGGCACGCGATCAACAACATCAACAATGTCCAATGGCAAACGTGCCAAAAAGGAGGCCAATTGCCACAAGTGGCGTGGCAACCTCTGCATGAATGGGTCATTGAGCATGGCCGAGACCATGTCGAGTACGCTTGTGCAACCATGCAAGATCAGAATGGCCAAGAATGCGGTGTTTTCCCCTCGCGGACGGGCACTATACAAGGATTCGGCCGCTTGAGAGGGGGCGGTCATCGTAGACAAGAAGAAGGCGGAATACTGAATATGTGCTACCCGGGTGGTTTGCATGTCCAGGGTACGTCCTCCAATCCTAATAAGTAACACTTTTTAGGTTTAAATGAGGCTTTAGGGTGCTTAGGGTTCAGGAGTTGGCCACCAGGCAGCCCGAACTCGACATAGAGCCATGCAGCAGACTCATGTTGTCCAGGCGCGGGTGCTCACCCCAGCACCCTCGACCCGAACTTGACCCTAACCCTAAACCCTAAACCCCAAACCCTAAACCCTAAACCCCAAACCCTGGGCCCTGTTGGAGGCCCGGGAGCTGCCACGGACCCGGAGACGATGGAGAGGCTGCTCCTGAAGGCCTCTTCCCTAACCCTAAACCCTAAACCCTAGACCCTAAACCCTAAACCCTAAACCCTAAACCTCAAACCTCAAACCTCAAACCCTAAACCTTAAACCCTGAACCCGAAACCCAGGGGCCCCATGCATTCCTTAGGAATGTTCGGGGTTTAGGGGGTTCAGGGTTTTAGGGGTTTTCGGATTTGGGAAGATTTGGGTTTAGGGTTTAGGGTTTAGGGTTTAGGGTTTAGGGTTTAGGGTTTAGGGTTTAGGGTTGAGGAGTTAAGAGAGTCTAGGGAGTTGATGCAGTTGAGGAAGTTTGGACCTTTCGGGCAAACCTCCGGATATGGTCTGGGACTTGAAAGTAGCCCGGGAGCCTTGGCTCTGGGCCTAAATCAAGCCTTTGTGAAGGAGGAAGTTTAGGGTTTAGGGTTTAGGGTTTAGGGTTTGGGTTTAGGATGGTTTAGGGTTTAGGGTTTAGGGTTTAGGGTTTCTGGAAGCACGCGTGTAGATGGTGCCGAGTCAAGTAAGACAAACGGATCTATAATTCAAATGGAAAGGGGCTCTAGAAGGGTGGGCTGATACCAATGACACAGCGATGTAAAGGGGCCGTGCGAACCCTGAACCTTGAACCCTGAACCCCCAAACTCAAAGGTCCCCGGAAAACTTAAACATCCACAACCCCCCAAACCTAAGTCCTAAAAACCAACACCCAGACAAAACGGCGGAGCCCAAAAAACCGGACCCCCTGCAAAATCTAAAGACCCGAAACCCTAAACCCTAAATCCTAAACCCTAAACCCTAAACCCTAAGCCCTAAACCCAAAAGCCTAAACTCTAAACCCTAAACCCTAAACCATAAACCCTAAACCCTAATCCTAAGACCCTAAGCCGTGGAGCAATCCACAACCTTCTGCCTTGCCAGCATGAAGAGCGAACCACCAAAACTTACAACTCCCCAACTCCCCTGAACCCTGAACCCTAAACCCTAAACCCTGCATCCAGAGCACAGAATTACGGAAGCTCAGGCGCAGCAGGTCGGCCTCACGTTGACCAATGAGGCCGCCTGTCCTTGACACAAAAGTTTCGAGTTTCGAGTTTCGGGTTGAGGATTGCAGCTTTCGGGCTTCGGTTTTTGGGGGTTTAGGGTTTAGGGTTGAGGGTTTAGACTAGATTTTCTCGGGGCGGGGTCCAAAAACCTCATCCCAAAGCCCTAAGCCCTCAATGTCAAACCCTCTGCCTGCCTCCTTCAACAGCTTGGAGCAGGGTCATGTTTTGGGGGGATGCCGTTTGGGGTTTAGGGTTCCGGTTTTATGGTTTAGGGTTTAGGGATTTCTCACGAAATCCTAGCTCTGCGAACCCGAAAGAGTTTAAGGTTTATGGTTCAGTGTTTAGGATGGAGTTTGAAAGTTTATGCCCCTAAACCCTGAAGCTTTGGGGTTTACTACCACTTGCTTAAGAACTCCCAAAAATGAAAAAAACATCATCCCTATATTGCCCTTACAGGGAAGATTATTGCTTTTTTTTTTCCGGGGGGGGGGGGGGTTCTTAAGCAACTCTCAGTTTAGGGTTTTTGGTTTTAGGGTTTTGGGAACAAAGGGCCCTCAACCCTCAGCCCTTCTAAGTCCACAATTGCACTTGAGGGACTTTGGCTTCGAGGCTGCTGCCACCCCCTAAGCCTCCTAGTCTAAGTTCTGCAGGTGGTGCAGTGTAAAGCTCTGCAATACAGGAAATTACAGACCCAAGCCCTTAAACCTAAACCCTGAAGCCCAAATCTTACAACCCCAAACCCCAAACAACCCTAAGCCCTAAAGCCGCAAAAAAGCTCCAAGAGTCCTGAAACCAAGGAGCGCCCGAAGGCGCGCCCGAAGGCCTAACGCGCAAAAGCTGCCAAGGCCCTGAACGCCATGACCAACCTCTCGCAAGAGAAGGCGGTTGAGCTCCTGGAGTCGGTTCTGGAGCGTTCCCAGGAGCATCCCCTCTTTGCTTCTTTCAAGTTTAGGGTTGAGGGTTTTGGGGTTCTGGGTTGTATGGTTTATAGGGTGTGAAGATCTACGGTGTGAGGGTTTTGGGTTTAGGACATTTTTAGGGCTTCAGGATTTTTGGGCGGTAGTTGGGGGTGGATGAACAATTTCAAGCCCTTTCTTGGTGCCCACGTCAGGCGATGCTGCTACGGCTCTTAGGTGTCAGTTGTGAACCCGAACCCTGAACCCTAAACCCTAAACCCTAAACCCTAAACCCTAAACCCTAAACCCTAAACCCCAAACCCTAAACCCTAAACCCTAAACCCTAAACCCTAAACCCTAAACCTACCAGGCCCTCCAGGCTCTGAACGTTGGGAACCGCGCAGCGCTGTCCCTTTTTGTTAGGTTAAGATGCAGATATTGTAGATGAGAACCCCTGAAAGGTATACTGCTGGCGGTCACTAGAAGAGTGAAGAGCTGTTAAGTTGACAAAAGATGCCCTGGTAGATGGGTGGTGCCCAGCTGACCCTGAACCCTTAACCCTGCAATCGTACAACAGTCGGGTTTTGTCTGTTTTTTTTGTTGTTCCCTTCTGGGGGGTGTAGGGTTAGGGTTTTGCAGGAACTCTACCCTTGGTGACAACGCAACCCTAAACCCTAAACCCTAAACCCTAAACCCTAAACCCTGAACCCTGAACCCTGAACCCTGAACCCTAAACCCTAAACCCTAAACCTTGAGGGGTAGGAAGGCGCTGATCGGGTTCGGCGTTCGTTTCGAGATCGCGCTCGCCTAGGCGCGGGCTGGACTCCGAGAGTTGGAGGTCGCGTCTTGGGATGTTTCCCCTTATACTAGCAGTCCTTGATAGGAATTTTCGTGCCGCCCCTACTACATGAAGGACTGTTAGTCTAAGGGGGGAACATCCCAAGTCGCGTCTTTCACTAGCCGCAGTTTTGGCATCGCTCGATGTGACAGATTCGGCTCTCGCCAACGTCCCGGGCACGCGCTGTGGTCCAAATCGCTCTCTCTCTCTCTCTCGCGCGCTCCTTCTTTTGAGGCTTCAATCGCTCCCGGCGAAAACGCAACAGAGACATGCTTTCCCGACAGAACTTTCCCGCCTTTCGACCTCTTGAACGGCTTCCCCCTTTGTGCGTTTTGTTCTATAACGAGGATAACTTTTTGTTTCTTGGCGGTGTTCCCATGAGCTCCCCGTCCCGTGCGGACCCTCGTGAGCGGAACGACCGCTTTTGGGGCCTCGGACTGCTTTTGGAGTGGTCTGACACTGTTTGGGGTTTAGGGTTTAGGGTTTAGGATTTAGGGTTTAGGGTTTAGGATTGGGGGTCCACACCTGCATAGTTGTGGCTCTCCCCTGCACGGTACTCGCCAGCAAGGCTTCACCTCCGAGAGCGAGTCTCAATCGTTTGCTTCTAGTTTTGAAGATGTACAGCACAACAACTTCGATGGTTGCCCCTGAACCCTAAACCCTGAACCCTAAACCCTAAACCCCAAACCCTAAACCCTAAACCCTAAACCCCAAACCCGAAACCCTAAACCCTAAACCCCAAACCCTGAACCCTATGCAGTCCCAGGAGCTGCGCGACCCCTCGCAGTACATTGTGAGCGCATGCCTCGGGCCAGGGATTGCCTGCGGCTCATGATTCAGTTTAGGGTTTAGGGTTTAGGGTTTAGGGTTTAGGGTTTAGGGTTTGTGGAGCAGGCTACCGTTTAGGGGTTGGGATGTTCCCCCTTGTACTTACAGCTCCGTAGTAGGGTTTTGTAATAGGGCGTGCTTCTATCCTTATTGAGGACTGTTAGTATAACGGGGAGCATCCCAAGCTCAGGGGTTGAATGCAGGTTCAGGGGTTTGGAGTCGGGTTTCTGCACTTGTGCCGCGGTCTTCTGGCTTGCAGGCTCCGGCGAACGTGTGCAGTCTAGGCCATGGCACTCGGGTACCTCTCTTGGGCAGCTCCATTCACGTGGATAGGCCTAAGGCTTGTAAAGCATGGGGAGCAGGACGTTCATCTAGGCCAGGCTTAGCTATCGGTTGAGCAATGGGTGCTGCCTTCTCAAAGCGTGAAGAGACGACTACGATGTCGCGCTCAGGGCTGTCAGCAGGAGACTCCGGAGACGCTGCCGAAGTCGACAACCTGGGCAATGACTGGATATTGGTGGACACCCCCCTGGATGCGCTCCAGCAGCAAGATGGCTCTCCTCTCTACGAGTGGCGCAGCGCCACACCCGACACGCGCCCAGCGTGCGGGCACTTGTGCCAGGCTTGTGGACGTCTCCAATGTGGGCGCCGCAAGTCGACGCATGAGAACCACTACTGTACCGCCTGTATCATCCACTGGTACCGGGAGAAGTACGACGCGGAGAGACCCTGAGAAGGCCGGGCGTACCGAGAAGTGAAAAAGAGAGTGTTCCGCACACCGAGAAGGCAGCTGCTTGTTAGGACAGAGCCGCGCTTCGGATGCATCCTTGCTATTGTAACCGTTACCCCTAAATCCTTCAGCCCTTGGCTTTTTGCTTAGCCACCCTGCACCCACTCAATGCCCTTGACCCCCTTCATTCGCTCCATCCCCTTCGCCCCTTAAAACCAGCAGCTGCAAAAAGACCCCATCAAGTCGGGGCCTTCTGGAGCCGAAAAGCTTAAGACCCCTCAACCCCCCAACCCCCCCCCCAAAAGAGAGAAGAAGAAGAAGAAGAAGAAGAAGAAGAAGAAGAAGAAGAAGAAGAAGAAGAAGAAGAAGAAGAAGAAGAAGAATAAGAAGAAGAAGAAGAATAATAATAAGAAGAAGAAGAGAAGAAGAAGAAGAAAGAAGAAGAAGAAGAAGAAGAAGAAGAAGAAGAAGAAGAAGAAGAAGAAGAAAGAAAGAAGAAGAAGAAGAAGAAGAAGAAGAAGAAGAAGAAGAAGAAGAAGAAGAAGAAGAAGAAGAAGAAGAAGAAGAAGAAGAAGAAGAAGAGGAAGAGAAGAAGAAGAAGAAGAAGACACTTGTCACAAAAACTGGTATGTTTAAGCCACCCGAATACTCCCTAGGATCCCTGAACCCATTTTCGGCGGACTCCCAGATGCTGTCATGAACGGCTTTCAGCTGAAGCGCCCGGGGCCTGACATGCAGGGGGCGTCGAGCTTAGGGTGTTGACGGAGGCCTGTGATTTTCGGGTTTAGGAGTTGAGGGGGTTTGGGGGTCCTGGTTTTCAAGCCCTAAGCCCTAAGCCCTAAACCCTAAACCCTAAATCGTAATCCTTAAGCTTCGGGTTCACAACAACACACCGAAACATCTGAATTACCTTAAGTTTCCGATCCCCAAAAGCCCTACTTGGAGAGTCATGGGTAGTAGCTTTAAGTAGGGTTATAAGTTATGAGTAAGATAACCGATATTACAAACCTCATATAGGGCACTTATAGCCCTACTTATCACTACCCATGAAACTCTAAATAAGCCTCAAACCTTGCGTTCCAGCAGCCCCTCAGGCACCCCCGGCTACGGAAATGGCTCCGGCGGGTATGGTGGCAGCCCCAAGTCTTCGGGCAGTTTCAAACATCTGAAAACCTAAACCAGCGCCAACAAAATCCCAAGGAAACACCCTAAACCCTAAACCCTAAACCCTAAACCCTAAACCCTAAACCCTAAACCCTAAACCCTAAACCCTAAACCCTAAACCCTAAACCCTAAACCCTGAACCCTAATAAAGAGAGGTCAGACCCAAGGTCTCTAAACCCTCGGTGTGCACCCCCCACCAAAGTGCAAGCGTCACGCCTGCACAAAGGCACCGTAAACCCCGAAACACCGAAACACCGAAACCCCGAAACTCTGAAACCCTGAAACCCTGAAGCCCCAGCCCAAAAATCCTGAAGCCATGGTACCCCAAACCCCACCTAGGCCCCGGAACAGAACCTGAGGACCCCTGAGGACTACACCCGAAGCCCTCTACTTAGGACTTAGGACTTGTTGTTGGAGTTCGGCTTCGGCTTAGGGTTTTGGGTTTAGGGTTTAGGGTTTAGGGTTTAGGGTTTAGGGTTTAGGGTTTAGGGTTCAGGGTTTCAGGGGTTTAGAGTTCAGGGTTCAGGGTTCAGGGTTTAGGGATTCCGCCTGCCACCCCCCAAAAGCTCCGCAAACCTGCGGCGCTGAACCGAGGCTCAGGGCAGGCGCCGCCAGGGCTTGCTGGGACGTTCATGGTACGTATTAACCCCATATTTACTGTACTTATAGCCCAATTGTTTCATACTAGGGCACTTCAGGGGCTTATAAGTACAGTTAAAGTGGCTATTAAGGACCACGAACCCCCAAGTTGCGGGGGTTGTCGGGTCGGGCTGTCGGTTTTTCTGGGTTCGGGGTTTAGGGTTTAGGGCTCCCCCTTAGACAAGGAGTCCTTAATAGGGATTATAGTAGGGGTAGCCTGATAAGGACTGTTAGGGGGAACAGCCGAATTTTAGGTTTTGGGGCTGCCCTTTTGAGAACCCTCCCACTTGGGATGTGCCCCCATGCATCAGGCAGTCTCAGAGAAGTCGTTGTTGGCCTTGGGGATCATCCAGAAAGGGGAGAACCAAACCTCCAGTTCCTGTTGTGGTAACTGTTATCACTTGTAAAAGGGTGCAGCATCCGAACCCTACACTCGAATTCCTCCCAAAGCCCTTGCCCACCCCCCCCCCCCCCCCGCCAAGCAGAGAAGCTAAAAACGACAACCGCCTCTTGACTCCCCCGCGGCCCATGCCTTCGAAGCGATTTTTGCGCCCATGGCTGGCTCCCGACTGCTGCCTTTAAGTAGCGGCTCAGACGTTTTGTTTCTCTACACGGCCGAACTCAGAAGTAGGAGAGCTTACGTGCTGAGAAATCTGGAGATTCTACTTGATGCACCCTTGCCAGAAGTGCTTTAAGCCATAAACCTTAAAATGCCATCGACTCTGCCACACTTGGGCAGGGCCTCGACAGCAACGAAGGCGTGGTTGGCGCTGATGGGTTCGGGCTGAGGTTGGGAGGGCCACCCTCAAGGCCGTGCCATACTTACAACAGAGCCTTCATGGGAGGCCCTAATTTTTAGTTTGCGACCTAAGCTGCTGCTGTTGCACGGGAGCTGCGCCCGAGAGGTTTTTGGGGGCCAGGTTGGATGAAGAAGGCAAACCCGATCTGTATCACCCCCGTACACCGGTTCAAGGTTTCGGGCTTAGGGAAACCCGAAAGGAATCTAACGGCCCAGAATGTACATCTAAGCCCCAAACCCTAAATCCCAAACCCTAAGCCCCAAACCCTTAACCCCAAACCCTGAACCCTAAACCCTAAACCTTAAACCCACCCAAAGTTAGGGCTCGGGGGTCTTTTGGGCCGTGAAGCTCCAAGGCCAAGGTGCTGAAGACCCTAAAGCCCCCTGAAACCCCTACAGCCCTGGACCCCTGCACCGACCTCTCGCAGGTCTCGGACTGAACCCGAAGCAGGTTCCGCCGGACATCACGCCCTTGGAGAGGCCCGCCGCTTGAGGGGTTTAGGGTTTAGGGTCAAGGGTTTAGGGTTTAGGGTTTCGGGTTTAGGGTGTAGGGTTTAGTGTTTCGGGGATTCTTCGGGAGTTGATTGATCGGTTTCAGTCGGTTTTTTGAGGGTGCCTCGGGTTTCGGGTGGAGCGGCTGCACTGGCAAAAAGGATTGATGACTTGAGTCACTCGAGGTCTCATGGGTAGATATAAGTAGGGTTGTAGGTTAGGTATATTTATCACCTCAAGGTAATCCTAGCCCCCCCCCCACTTAGGACTACCCATGAGCTATTCTAAGAACACAGAAGTTTGTAGCAGAGAACTAAGAGAGCGACCAGGGTGTACGTCGCGAAGAAATGGTTGAACCGTTTTGAAGTCAGGACGACAAAGGTTATGTGGGCTAGTGCTGACAGGCTAATTCTCTCGTGAAGGCATGACCACGCAATCGTTTAACACTGACATGAGAGCAGTCAGTATTCTGATTGTCATTATTATTGTTGTTTTTCTTCTTCTTATCATTACTACTACCATTATTACCATTATTACATTTATCATTAGTATCATTAGTATTCTTCTTCTTATTATTCTGAATTATTCTTCTTATTGCTACTAGTAGTGCTACAATGATTGAAGTCGTGAGCTTTCGAATGCCCGGATTAACAGGGTTCAATATCGACCCTTGTTGAACAAATAGTCCTAGGGACGTTCTTCCTTTTCATTTCGTTGCCGCTCCTCTGTCGATCTGCCGGCAAAGTTGAGGTTGACAGAGGGCGTTCACTTCTCATCTTGTTCTTTCTCCTTTCGCTTCTTTGACCCGTCTCAACAGAAACAAGTTAACGAAGTCAGCGCGTGATCTGTGAAATAGTTTGTCAACCAGAAGCGACACAAAGATACCAAAGACAAGCGGAAAGGTGTGAACACCATGTACAACTTAAGTTTCTTCATTCATCCTTCTTGAGGCTACATGCGTTTCCATGTCATTTGTCAAGGTTTCCATGTGCCTGTCTTTGAAGTTCCTTGGCTAGGGTTTAGCCCAATTTGGGCTGGATCTGGAGTTGGTTGTGTCGAGCTTTAAGGGCTTAGGGTTTAGGGTTTAGGGTTTAGGGTTTAGGGCTTGAAGCCGAAGCCCGGTCTAAGCCTTGAAACCAAGGCTGCAGGGAGCTCTTGATCCCCAAACCCCAACAAACCCCAAACCCCAAACCCCAAACCCTAAGCCCTAAGCCCTAAGCCCTAAGCCCTAAACCCTAAACCCTAAACCCTAAACCCTAAACCCTAAACCCTAAACCCTAAACCCTAAACCCTAAACCCTAAACCCTAAACCCTAAACCCTAAACCCTAAACCCTAAACCCTAAACCCGAAACCCGAAACCTAAACCCTAAACCCTAAACCCCAAACCCTAAACCCTAAACCCTAAACCCTAAACCCTAAACCCTAAACCCTAAACCCTAAACCCTAAACCCTAAACCCTAAACCCTAAACCCTAAACCCTACCAAACCCTAAACCCTAAAGCCTACTAAACCCTACTCAACCCGACTAAACCCTACTAAACCCTACTAAACCCGACTAAACCCGACTAAACCCTACTAAACCCTAAACCCTAAACCCTAAGCCCTCAGCCCCAAGCCCTAAGCCCGAAGCCCTAAGCCCTAAGCCCCAAACCCTAAGCCCCTAAACCCTGAACTCCACAAGCGTCGGCTCGCGAAGCCCGCTCAGGAGAGTCCTGCAAGTGAACCAGGCGGCCTACGCTCAGGGCGAGCAGATCGACCTGCTGAGCTATCTGGCGCCCGGGCTCAGCAAGCTTTGGGGCTCCCAACTATGTGCCCGCAACCTTTTAGGGTTTTTAGGGTTTTTAGGGTTTAGGGTTTAGGGTTTACCTCGCAACCTCCCAGAATTTGGGGGTTTGGGGTTTGGGGTTTAGGGTTTCAGGCCAGGCCTCGTACCCCTTCAGCCCTTCCACTCTTCTTCCCGCAGAGCAAAGAACAAACCCCAAAGCCCCAACAGCCTGAAACGCATGCTTCGCAAGGCACTTCGGTGCCTTCCCGACTGGCACGCGGCAGAGATGCTCGACACGATGGAGGCACCGCAACGAAGACGGGGCGTTCAGTTTTTTTTTTGAGGGTTTAGGTGGGGTTGGGGTTGTTGCCGGCGTTTGTGGAAAAGCTTGGCTGGAATAAAACAGAAGTGCGTGCCAAGGGAGTTCATAAGCACAACTTTGCAACAGGGGCGTGATGGACTCTTTGGTTCTGGGAGTGGAACGCCGCGGGGAAGGTTTATGGGTAGTTCTAGGTAGGGTTGTAGAAGTATATAGGTTAGCTTACGTATATCCCTTTTCATAGCTAGCCATGAGTTTTCAAATACTGAGAAGCTGCGGCCGTGTTTTGGTTTTTGCTAGCCCTGCTGCGGAGAGACAGACGCCTTTCGACTGGAATGAGGGATTAGGAGGTCTTGGGATTTGTGTCCTCAAAAATTCGGGTCGCGTTCCAGATGCCCTCTGGAGTAGGAGTTCTCATGGACCGGTTCGTTCCCCTTTCAAACCCTGAACCCTAAACCCTAAACTCCAGGCCCAAAGAGAGGTGGAATGTCGCCGAAACCCCATGCCCACGAAGCCTTCTACGAAATGTTAGAGCCAGTCCACAATTCCTAGGCAGGATATGCAGGACCCTTAAAAGGGAACCCCTTCTGAACCCTCTTCTGGCTCTCTTAAACAGGGACCTTATTCAGAGGGTCTTTATCCCCAAGGGTCCCCCTACTCCTATCCCCTAAAATGCAGAAGCACTCGAAGCGCCCAAACCCCATCAAATCTTAAGCCCTACTTGGACGTTCATGGGTAGTTAAAAGTAGGGTTGCAAGTAATGTAACCCATTTCTAACCCCAATTAAGGTACTCATAACCCCACTTTAAACTACCCTTGAGCCTTCAAGTACACCCTAACCTAGACCTGAAACCCTAAACTCTAAACCCTTAACCCTAAAATCTTGAACCCGAAGGGAATGCTTTGGAAGGCCAAGCAAGGCGCCATTGCCAGCCCATGCAATTACATCCAGGCCACATCTGAGCGGGCTCAGGGTTTACTTGGAGGACTTAGTGACTACTTGCTTTCAGCAGAGTTTAGGGTTTAGGTTTTAGGGTCTAGGGTTTAGGGTTCAGGGTTTGAGAAGGGTTCAGGAAGGGTTTTTGCTAGGCTTCGTTTAGGGGTGTTGAGGTTACAGTGGCTATCAAGTAGGCTCCTTCAGTAGGATGACCCGAATTCGTATCCCTTGTCGGGTATGCACAATTCTACCTTGCACCTACTTACTTTTCATGAACCCGAAACCCTAGACACTATTCTCCAAGTAGGGGTTTAGGGGCGGGTTAGGGGTTCACACAGGACCTGTCAGGGCATGGGATTTAGGGTTTAAGGTTCCGGCGTACCCCGATCCGAATTCCCTCTCACCCTTAAACTCCAAGCCCCAAACCCCAAACCCCAAACCCCAAACCCCAAACCCCAAACCCCAAGCCCCAAACCCCAAACCCCAAACCCTGAACAAGGCCCAAATAGCCCCTGAGTTCAACGGAGACCTTCGAGCTCTCAGGAATATCGGAGGCTTAGCGTTTGGGGGGGGGGGGATCGGCCCTGAACCCGACATTTCGGGTCCAGGATTTTTGGGTGTCGGGTTTGGGGTTCGGGGTCATGTTCTAAGGAGCCCAAAACCCAAAACCCTAAACCCCAAACCCTAAACCCAAAACCCTAAACCCCAAACCAACACAATTAAGCCTTGAGCCTCAAGCTGAAACCCCTCAGCAAACAGCGCAGGCCGCTGTCTCGAAGATCCAGCGCGGACACCATCATGGGAGAGGCGTTGTACAGGGCTTCTTTATGGCTTCAGGGGCTTTTAAGCTTTAGGGCTTCAGGGCTGTTTCGGGCCTCGCCCTAAGTCGATGATCAGGTCCCCAATGGGAGGGGCATTAGGATGCGATGCGGAGCAAAGCTCGAGCTGTGGGCGCTTTTAGAGGTCCGTCTTGGGGGTGTTTAGGCTTCATGAGGCCTGGATTCAGTGGGTTACATTCGACTGCACTGCCTTGGCACCTTTCTTTGCTATCCATGGCCTTTGGTCATGGCTCTGATATAAGGGTCGTAATATGGGCCCTGAATATGGCGGTTCTGATGTATGGGCCCTTGGGTTGTTTAGGGCATATAGGGTAGAAAAGGGTTTCCTTTTCAGGGCCTATACTAAGGGACCATGTAAGTACCCTAAGATGTGTGGGGGGGCCATCTATATCCTATAACAATGTTTAGAACCACACATCCAATGCAAACGTGATCCTGCCTTTCACCTCCGTTGATGAGCACGACCCCGCGTGCTTCTAGAGCCCCACATGCCGCAAGCGCCACGTAAGGGCATGGCATTGCATGCTCATGTGCGAGCCAGCCAGGTCTTACCCAGGTCTTGCCTGAAGTTTCAATTTTGCAGCTGTTTCTGGGTGCACGAGGCGGCATCCTTCGCCCTGCCAGTAGTGTGGATTCCGGCGTGCGCGCCATGGGCTCGCTGAAAGCTCGGAAGGACGGGCTCTTGGACGAGGAGCGTGGCCCGGACCCGGAGGCTCCGAGGGGGTTTTGCCTCTTATGAGACAAAAACCTCACGACCCGAGGTTTCTAGGTTTTGAGAGCGATGGTTTTTGGGGACTTTGTTGTTGCTTTTTTGCTGGTAGATGGCGAGGAAACCGAGGCAGAATCTCGTTGTAAGGCCACAACACCTGCAGCCCACCCGACCCCAGAGCACCCTGAAGCCACCCCAACCCCGAAGTCCAGTGATTTCAAGCGACAGAACTCAAAGCCCAAGGCCCCACGACAGACCTCAACAGACCTGGTATGTAACCCTAAACCCTAAACCCTAAACTCTAAACCTAAACCCTAAACCCTAAACCCTAAACCCTAAACCCTAAACCCTAAACCCTAAACCCTAAACCCTAAACCCTAAACCCTAAACCCTAAACCCTAAACCCTAAACCCATAAACCCTAAACCCTAAACCCTAAACCCTAAACCCTAAACCCTAAACCCTAAACCCTAAACCCTAAACCCTAAACCCTAAACCCTAAACCCTAAACCCTAAACCCTAAACCCTAAACCCTAAACCCTAAACCCTAAACCAAGGTGGAATCCTGACTCCCGAGTGCCTTGAGACCTTACACACCCGGCCTTCGGCCTTAAGTGACTTGACTAGGTAGGCCCTGGGGACATTTTACATTCTCCCTTGTTGTGTTTCAGAGGATCATAGTCACGAATATTGAAGGGTTTAGGGTTTAGGGTTTAGGGTTTAGGGTTTGAAGGGCCATCTGAGTTAACCCCTGGATCCGGGGCAGGCGTCATCTGCCGAAGACCGCGCGGAGGGCGCCTGCAGTCTGCGCCGGTACGTGAGCTTCCCTGTGGCGGCCAAAAGTGCCTCATCCTGTGTACTGTGGTAGGGTTTAGGGTTTAGGGTTTAGGGTTTAGGGTTTAGGGTTTAGGGGTTTAGGGTTTAGGGGTTTAGGGTTTAGGGGTTTAGGGTGTAGGGTTTAGGGTGTAGGGTTTAGGGGTTTTAGGGTAGGGTTGAGGGTTTAGGGTTTAGGGTTTAGGGTAGGGTTTAGGGTTTAGGGTTTAGGGTTTAGGGTTTAGGGTTTAGGGTTTAGGGTTTAGGGTTTAGGGTTTAGGCTTTAGGGTTTAGGGTTTAGGGCTTAGGGTTTAGGGATTGTCGCAACCCCCGGAACCCTGCACTTTCCGAAGCTTCACAACTGGGTTTGTAGCGGTTTTTGGGGCTGACGCAGGGCAGAGGCAAGGGATGAAGACTCGTACCCCTAAGGTTGTACCCCCTAAAGCTTCCCCTGAATATACTCCTAATATGGCCCTTATATTCCCTTAGGGATCCCGAAAAGGGACCCCCGAAACCCAAGGGTAGAGCCTTAAGGGTCCAAGGTGCCCTAAACCCTAAACCCTAAATCCTAAACCCTAAACCCTAAACCCTAAACCCTAAACCCTAAACCCTAAACCCTAAACCCTAAACCCTAAACCCTAAACCCTAAACCCTAAACCCTAAACCCTAAACCCTAAACCCTAAACCCCTAGACAGAGTTGTGCGAAGATTCAGGTCTCTTGGTGTTGCTGGCCATGACGCTGTCATACCATGCTCTGATCCTGACGGGGCAGGTGGGAGGGTTTAGGGTTTCGGGTTTCGGGTTTCGGGTTTACGGGCACCGGATCCTGCAGGAACGGCCACCTACTGACTATAGGGGGGTTGGAATAGCTCCTAATCGTATTCACCCTTGTGGTCCCTTTGTAAGTTTATTATAAGAACCACGCAAAAAAAAACACTATTTCGAATGATGAAGGCGCCCATGTTATAAACCCGAAAGCTCAAACAGGGCGGTGCATCAGGGTTTAGGGTTTAGGGTTTAGGGTTAAAGGGTTCAGGTTTTGTGACGCGAGGGAAGAAGACTTGAAAAAACGACGCCATTATTCGAAGCAACCTCTCAACCGTCGTGCCCTCTCAAGGGATGAAGACTCGTACCCCTAAGGTTGTACCCCCCTTAATATGCTCCTGACATGGCCCGTATATTCCCTTAGGGATCCTTAAAAAGGGACCCAAAACCCAAGGGTACAACCTTAAGGGTCCAAGGTAGAACCTTTAGACCCTCTTCTCCTGCACCCTTGAACAGCCCACGTGCGGGAGGGGAAGGTAGGAGGGCCTTTTGGGACATTCCATGCTTTAATTCCTTTTTTTAATTCATGGGGAGTTTAGAGTTCAGAGTTCAGGGTTTAGAGTTGAAGGTTTAGAGTTTAGGGTTTAGGGTTTAGGGTTTAGAGTTTAGGGTTTAGGGTTTTAGGGTTTGAAGCCTAGGGTTCCCTTACTGGATTATGAGAATCCTGCCTGGGAGTGTGCTTTTGTTCAGGGGGGCTTAAAGGGCCTAACTTGAGAACTACACACTATATGTACGGGGATGTTGCCCCTAACAGTCCTTACTCGGGGGGGGGGGTACTATAATCCCGATTAAGGACTGTTAGTATAGGGGGGAACATCCCAATATATACAGTAGCGCAAGGGTTCTTGGAGGTTGACCAGGCCCACTTGGGCTACCGATGCTCAAGCCGTGCATCTTTCCATGTTTGAATCAGAGAGCAAGTAATGTGACACCCTGAGTTCAATTCATTATATTCGTAGCAACCAAGACGCTGAAACTCTGTAAACGACGGGCGCATGTGAAAAGCGGGGGGTGCGAGCGGGAACGTGGTCTGTGCATTCCTCCGTATCCTCCGGGCTCCCGCAAAGGCAGCTTCCGACCCTTTGCGCCCTCCGCGCCCACCCACAACAGAGAGTGGACCTTATCCTTGACATCAGCCTATCCGCTTGTATTGACGCTCAAGAGTTGCGAGTCTGCTCGCAAGCGCAGACGCTAGAGTTGTGCCTGCTGTGAGCGATGAAGGTTGGGGCCCGGGTCTCGACACGGCATCAAAAGTGCTTGCGATCGTAGGCCCGTGAATTGCGTTGCAAACTTTTCCCAAATAAGGGTTTGGGTCTTTTCCTTTCCGACAGAGCTTCGCCCTAGGCCGGAGCATTCAACTGCACTTGCGGTGTGCATAGCAGACTCCAGTGCCCATCTCAGGCCTATACCCTAATACCTTGGTAGGCCTCTGGGACGTTGGATGTTCTACCTTATTGGGTTTCAGAGGATCATATTCACGAGCTTTTTTTGTAGGGTTTTAAGGGCCATCCTATGTTCTCCCTTATTGGGTTTATTCATGAGTTTTTTTTTTTTCAGAGGGGTTTAAGGGCCGTCCTACGTATGTTCTCCGTTGTTGGGTTTAAGAGGGTCATATTCATGAACTTTTTTCAGAGGGTTTTGAGGGCCATCCTAGATAAAGCCTCGAGCTGGCTGTGTTCCTGTCGGTCGAGCGTGCCAGTCGGGCACTCGGCAAGGTGGACTACCGCTTTGTGTGGGGAGGCCGGCTGAAGAGCAAGGAGCCCCAAAGCATCCCAGAAGTCCCTACAGGGTTTAGGGTTTAGGGTTTAGGGTTTAGGATTTAGGGTTTAGGGTTGAGGGTTTAGGGTTGAGGGTTCAGGTTGAAGAAGGAGCCTAGGGTCTTAAGGGCTGGAAGGGCGAAGTGAGTGCTTCGGGGAGTCGACTTTGTCGAGTTGCCATGTTTGCTCTTAGGTTTAGGGTTTAGGGTTTAAGGTTCAGAGTTTAGGGTTTAGGGTTTAAGGCTCTTAGAGGTTTATGGAGTTTAGACAGCTCTTCAATCGAGTGCTCGGAAAGGGCTTGTCAGGTTTTTACGCAGTTTCGTGGTGTTCTATGGGGCTGTTGAAGCTCTAAACCCTAAAACCCTAAACCCTAAACCCTAAACCCTAAACCCTAGACCCTAAACCCTAAACCCTAAACCCTAAACCCGAAACCCTACAAGGTTCAGGGCTCCCCGGGGTTGAAGGAGCCTGTCCGCTCCAAGCTCCGGGACCCCAGAAGCCAACCCACATGAACCCGAAACTCGCAGCTGGGTCGTTCTCTAAATTAGGGTTTGAGGTTTAGGGTCTAGGGTTTAGGGTTTAGGGTTTAGGGTTTGGGGTTTGAAGTTTGGGGTTTAGGGTTTAGGTTTCTTTTTTTAGGTTGCGTACTCTATAGGGGAGCCCGAAGAGGGAGCCCAATTCAGAGAGCTACCCAACTCCAGACCTGGTACTTCGAGATGTTTTGGGGGTTTAGAGCTTAGGGTTTCGGCCGAGTTTGAGGGCTTTAAGGCTTTAGTAGGGTTCTAGGGCTTTGGGGTTTTAGGCTCTAAGGCCCAGGCTTTAGTAGGGTTCTAGGGTTTTCGGGGTTTTCGGGGGGTAAACTTCCTATAGGAGCAGATGTACGTCTTCGAGACCGTCTCCGTGTCCCTGAATCTGATCATGGTGCTCTTGGCGCTCGCCCGTGGGGGCTGGCTGAACGCGTCGCTTGCCGACCCCAATCTTCAAGGATTCAGGGCTGAGAGATTTCCCTAAACCCCGAACTCAAAACCCTAAACCTCAAACCTCAAACCTCAAACCTCAAACTTTAAACCCTAAACCCTAAACCCTAAACCCTAAACCCTAAACCCTAAACCCTGAACCCTAAACCCTAAACCCTAAACCCTAAACACTAAACCCTAAACCCTAAACCCTAAACCCTAAACCCTAAACCCTAAACCCTAAACCCCTAAACCCCTAAACCCCTAAAAGCCCCTACACCCTCAAGCCACCGAAGCCTGAGGTGCCCCTGCCTGCCGCCCGCCGTGCTGCGAGTCGTCTGCGGGATCTTCTGCGCCCTCTTCGCGCTCAACACCCTGGGGAGCCGCATTTTTTTTTGTTTTGGGGGGGGGGGGGGGTTTAGGGTTTAGAGTTTAGGGTTTAGGGTTTAGGGTTTAGGCTTCAGGGTTTAGGTTTCAGGGTTTAGGGTTTAGGGGTTAGGGGTTAGGGTTTAGGGTTTAGGGTTTAGGGGGGTTTAGGGTTTATCAGTCCTTGATAGGGATCATTAGAGGGGCACTTTTTTTTGGCGCGAATTCTCTGCATCATTTTCGGAGCCAGTCAATCGATCGCTTGCAGCGACGTATTTTGCTGCGATTCGACACCAGAGACGTGAAACTCTTTGTTTTTGGCTTTCATTGTTCGCAACCAGCGAGGTGAAACTTCTTGTTTTTTGGACTTCATTATTCGAAACCAGAGAAATGAAATTCAAAACATTAATCTCCCTTGCAGAAGAGAGAGAGAGAGAGAGAGAGAGAGAGAGAGAAGAGGCCCGCCCGCCGTATCTTGATCGCTTTTTGATGTGGTCTCCCGCAGTCATTTCAACATGGGGGGAGTCGACGGGCCTGAAAAGACCTTGCGCTGGCGCGCTGAGCTCAGCATACTTGGCTTGCTGCGACTCTGGTTTTGCCGGGACGCAGCTGGCTGAAGAGCCGCGCTCCTTTCCGGTCTGTACGATCAGGTCTGCTTCCTTGCCCTCCTGCGCCAGGGGCCTCGCCCTCAGACGCTGCCCTGCCGAGAATCCAGAACGTTGAAGGTTTTTCTTTGGTCCTCGCTCGTGGATAGCAGCACTTCTTCAGCTGAGAGCTTTCGCTGGCAGCTTTCTCTCAGCGCCTAAAAGCGGCATCGGTGGCTCTGGGGCCGTTGCCTCCGCCGGCTGACCTGCGTGTGCTTCTGCTTGTGTCCAAAAGGTGTCTTGCGCTTCCCATGTCTGTTTCGTCTGTTTCTGGGGAGTCTGCACGCGTATGGTCTGTTTTGTGCAATGTTGTCCTTGACTCACGCATGCACAGGTACATCGACAGTTAGACATGACACTGCGCTTTGTGATGGCAGGCTTCGCGCTTTCGTCTGCAGGCCAAGGTGCCTGTTGTTCTGCTTTTTTCTGCAGGTGCTATTCCACATGTCACGACCTTTCTTCCAACCTTCGCTTGTTTCTTCAGAGCAAAAGGGTTTCATTTTTTCGAAGCTTGAACCACGAGGCCTGGAGCCTCGCTTCCGTTTGCCGCGGGGGGCGGTTTTGGTCATGGCAGGGACGTGGAACTTATCGTGAATCCCTTGTTGTCATGGTAGAGAAGCGAAGATTTTTATAAATTTGTTTCTTGTGTTCAGTCTTCGAGACTCAGAGGAGTAGAGATTAAGTAGAAGGAGAAGTCTAAATTCCACCCCCTCGTTTCTTGTTTTTGGTACTTGTGTTCACTATTCGAAAAGTAGAGAACAAGTAAAGTCCAGAAGCAGTCTTGTGTTCATTACTGGAGTAGAGAGTTCATAGAGAATTATAATCTAAATGATAGTACGTGGCGAGAACCCCGTGTTTTCATGGAGGCGAGGCCTTTTGTCAAGGTGAGGCCAGGGGAAGCGGCTGCTTCCTGCACGCGTGCCCAACGCCTCTTCTGTGCAGTGACGTGGCGCGGGGCTAAGCCGAGAACCCCATGTTTTGTTTTGGAGATGATTCATGACAATGAGCTTCAAGGCAAGCTTGTCCGGCTTACAAAAGCAGGGGGGTTGGGGGGGGCGCAGCCCCCCCCCCCCCCCACTTGCAAACACGATTCTCGCATCATGGGTTCAAGGATTCTTATGCCTTGAAGCAAATCGCCTTGTTTCGTTGTTGTCGTGGCGCAGAGGTGCGTAGTATTCTAAATTTCACGCGCCGGTGTCGTCGTTGTCGTGGCAGTGCGCCCCCCGGTTTAGGGGGGCCGCGCACCTCCCCCCCCCCCCCCCCCCCCCGCGTTTGCAAACGTAGTCTGCGAAGCTGTAAGTACGGCTCGGGCGGTGAATGTGGCGCGAAATTAAGCCGACACCCCCATGGAGGCTGTAGGGCAAGCGGCTTCGGCCTGCAGCTTCCTCACGACCCCCCTGTGCAGTGAGTATGGTGTGAAGCTAAGCCGAAAAGCCCATGTTTTGCAAAGGGGGTTAGTGTAGGCGGCTTCGGCCTGCAGGACCTCACGCCTCCCTCGGCCTAGAGGTTGCGCTTCCCTTGCCATTTTGTGGGTTTCGGGTCGAGGGTTCGGATATTTCACGCTGATTTCGATGCCCTTTTATATATGCACGGTGCTACTCGCTGGAACCCTGAAATCTTGAAACCCGAAAACGCCAAAAGCCCTAAAGCCCTGAAGCGCTAAACACCCTTAAGCCCCAAAATCCTACAGAGGAACCCTAAACCCTAAACCCTAAACCCTAAACCCTAAACCCTAAACCCTAAACCCTAAACCCTAAACCCTAAACCCTAAACCCTAAACCCTAAACCTAAACCCTGAACCCTGAACCCTAAACCCTAAACCCTAAACTCTAAACCCGAAACCTTACGTCCTACAGAGGAACCTTGCGGCGAAGTCGAACTTCGAGCGGGGCGTGTTCACCCCGCTGACGTTGCTGGCCTCACTGGCCTTCGCGCGCCTGGCGCTGGAGTGAAGGGCGCCCCGAGGGTTTCGAGCTGTCGGGGTACATGGCTAGGGTTTAGGACGTAGGGGTTAGGGTTGAAAGCCTACATTAGGGTTGAAATCACCCTCAAATCTCCGGGATTTCGGGCGTTGAATCCCGCGGGGAGCCTTTCGTTTCCTGATCTTCGGGTGCTGACTGACTCCAAAGAGGGTCCAACCTACAACCCAAAGACGGAACAACCCGACACCCGGCTACGATAGGGGTCGGAATAATTACCAATAGCATTCCCTTATGGTCCCTTTATATAAATATACTGTAAGAACCCCCCAAAATCCTGTTCTAAATTTTAAACGCCCTTATACAACGTCGGGTTATCGAGGTTATCGGTTTTATGGGGGTTATGCGGTTATTTATGGGCCTGCACCTCGCACCTTCATATGGTCTAAACCCCTCCCTAAAACCCAAACCCTCAACCCCATTCACCCTGAGCACGAAGACATGGCGTGCTTCTACGATTAGTCGCATGGGCCCGTAATATGGTCCCGTACCTCCTTTAAAAGGGCTCTGAAGTATGGGCCCTCGCGTTTGACAGGGTATAAAGGGGTATATAAGGGGCACCCTTTTGCAGGGCCCATGCTAAGGGACCACTTGATTACCTTAAGAAATCTAGGCCCAAGAGCAACCTAGAAATAACAAGGGCGCCCTTTTTGGTTTTAAGAGGTTCATAAGGGAAGCTACACCCAAAGAAAGGGCGAATAAGGGCCGACCCTGTAACTTCCCTAAGAGTGCTGGGCTGTCAGGGTCCGCCGGGGGTGTAACCCACCTGGACGCAGACCGTTTCGCTTCTGACTCGCGCCCTCAGTAAAGCGGCGACCTGCCCAGGCTTTGGTTTTGGAATTTTGCCGTAGGGGTTTAGGGTTTAGGGTCTGGCTTTAGCGTTTAGGTTTCAGTCATCACCGAAGGCGGAGGGCGGCCGGCACGTTCCTGGAAGAGCAACGGAGCATTCAGCCAAGAATGAGTCCAGACCCTAAACCCTAAACCCTAAACCCGAGACCCGAAACCCGAAACCCGAAACCCGAAACCCTAAACCCTAGACCCGAAACCCTAAACCCTAAGCCCGAGGCCCTAACCCCGAAACCTGCCAAGTCAGACCTCAGACCCCCGAAACTCCACACTGAGAGGTTGGTTTGTAGTAACTAGCCATTGCTGCCCTAAATCACGGGGTTGGTTTGGAAACAACTTTTGGTTTCCATGGTCCCTATATACTCCCTTTCTTTCATTGGGGGTTCGGGTCTTTATTGCGGCTTTTTAGTGAGCGTCGGGTTCCTTATGGTTTTGTTGAGTGTGTATGTTTGGTGCTTGTTTGAGATACCATGATACAACCCTTTCCAACCCTAGAGAACCCACCCCGCACAACCCAGCAGAAGCATTAATTTGTGCAGGCGCCCAAGTCCGCCCCACAGTAGCAGGTAGTGCTCAGGGGTCTAACTTTTTTCATGTTTGTTTTTTCGGCTTAGGGGTTCAGGGTTCAGGAATCATCGAGGGGTATGGAGTTTTAAGGGGATGCAGGGTTCATGGGCGTAGGATCGCCAAAGCCCGATCCCCTGCGCCCTGAACCCTGCAAGCCCTGGAACCCTAAACGCTAAGCCCTAAACCCTAAACCCTAAACGCTAAACCCTAAACCCTAAACCCTAAACCCTAAACCCTAAACCCTAAACCCTAAGCCCCAAGCCCCAAGCCCCTAAGCCCTCAGCCCTAAACCCCAAGCCCCTAAGCTCTAAGCCCTCTGTCCGGGCCAGGCGGTGATTATGGCGGTGGGCCGGAGGCGCGGGGTGGACGTGAGGTTCAGGGTTGTCAGATTTCAGGTTCTAGGGTCCCTAAGAACCCTTAAAGCCCTAAGCCTTAAGCTCTAAACCCTAACCCTAAACCCTAAACCCTAAACCCTAAACCCTAAACCCTAAACCCTAAACCCTAAACCCTAAACAGCGAACGGTCCAATTCGGTGTTGCAGGGCGCAGGGTGGAGGACCCCAAAGGCTTCAGCTTTCGGGCTGTCAGGGGTCGTGTAAATGTGTCAGCTTGACGGTTCACGATGCACGTGTCTTAGTGTTTAGGGTTTAGGGCTTGGGGTTTCGGGTTTGGGGTAGACCTCCAACTCCCAAAACCCTGGACCCCTGCATCCCAGACCCTGCACCCTACTCAACGTCCAAAGCAGGTACCGCTGTTGGGGTTAAACTCCCCGGTTTAGGGTTCTGGGTTTTGGGGTTCGGGGCTTTTCGGGTGTCGGGATGCAGTTCAAAGATGTGCGGAGGCCGGCGAGAAGCGACAGCGGATGCACACGCCTCGGCATCGTCGGGTTCCTGCTTAAAGGCTCAGGGGACTTCGCGTAGGTTGAGGGGCCAGTTCGGAATTCGTTTTTTTTTTTTTTTTTGAAATTCCTATTTTTTGCTGTAGCTACCCTCAATTGCGTTTATCATAGTTATAGCAGCCGGACTTGCAAGCCATAACTGCCTCAGTGCCCGTGAACGTCTCGGTAAGGCTTCTGCAAAGAGGGCTCAGGGCCCTACAGCCCAAACCGAGCTAGAGTCCAGAATTACTGCTTGGGTTTCGGGTTCGGAGTTTAGCTGCTTGAAGGCTCATGGGAAAAGGTACCTAAGCCTTGAACCCTAAACCCTAAACCTTACCTAGATTCACTGCTTGGGTTTCGGGGTTGGAGTTTAGCTGCTAGAAGGTTCATGGGCATTAGTATAGGTATAAGTGGGGTTAGAAGTACCTAAATGAAGGTTCGAATTTCAGTTGCCTACCCCTAAACCCCAACCCTAAACCGTAAACCGTAAACCCTAGCCCTAAACCCTAAACCCTAAACCCTAAACCCTAAACCCTAAACCCTGAACCCTGAACCCTGAACCCTGAACCCTGAACCCTGAAAACCTAAACCCTAAACCCTAAACCCTACCCGAATGAACCTTCAAGTGAGGGGTGTCGGGCTTAGGGCCTCCTCGGCTTTGCGGTTCTGGATGTCCCAAGGATCTCCACAGAAGCCTCAACCCCATAGGGTCCAGGGTTTAGGGTTTAGGGTTTATAGGGTTTAGGGTTTAGGGTTGAGAGTTGAGGGTTTAGGGTTTAGGGTTTAGGGTTTAGGGTTTAGCCAACCCAACCGAAAAGCGTCCAGGGAGCCCCAATACTCCTGGAATAGAGCCTCAAACTATGTACGCGGTCCTGAGTGAAATCTAGGCCCTACGTATCGTACTTGAAGGTTCCCCGGGCAGTTACAAGTAGGGGGGCTTATAAGTCAAGTACCCTGTACTACAAGGTTAATTTAAGGCACGTATAAGCGTACAACACTGCTTCGAACCACCCATAAACCTTCACTCAAACCCCAAACCCGAAACCGTAAACCCTCAACCTTGAGCCTACTCAAAAATACCAATGAACCTTCAAGTAAGCCCTAAACCCTAAACCCTGAACCCTAACCCTGTAAGCCCTACTTATAACTGCTCATGAACGTTCAACTCTTTAAGGGGTCTTGGGGTCTCTCGGCAGCTTGGAATCCCGCCCCCCCCAGTCGTCCTCCGAGGTGGTGATGAAGCGCCGTACCGGTCGGCAAAATGTTTGTGCACTGGCGCGACTAAGGGGTCGTGGGCTTTCGGGCTTTCGGGCTTTAGGGCTTTCGGGCTTTCGGGCTCTAAGGCTTTCGGGCTTTAGGGCTTCAGAGCTTTAGGGTTTTGTGGGTTTTGGGTTTTGGGGGTGTTAGGGTTTTAGGGCTGTAGGTTTCCAAGAACAGCACAGACGAACGGTTCCATGCCGGTTGCAGGTCAGGATATGGGCAGCACGCCCGAGTTCTAGCGAAATGTTGCCGCAGGTGAGACTAAGCCCTGAACCTAGACTTGGGATACTTTTTTACTTATGTTTCCCCTCAAGGTTTTTGGGGGTACTTTCCCTTATTGGGTTTAAGAGGATGGTTGTTCTGATGGCTTTAAGGGCCATCCTAGTTCCTTGTTGGTTCGTTCGTTGTTCGCTTGTTGGTTCTCGGCGGATAGGTGCATAATATATCATGGGTTTCCCTGCAACCCCCCTCTATACTACCCCCCCCCCCCCCCCCCCCCCCCCTAGGTTTTCCCCTTTAATACCCCCCCCCCCCTCCCCCCCCCCCCCCCCCCTCCCCCCCCCTCCCCCCCCTCCACCCCCCCCCCCTCCCCCCCCCACCCCCCCCCCCCCCCCCCCCCCCCCTCCCTACCCCCCCCCCTCGGGTTGCCCTCTATACTACCCGCCTAGGTTGCCCCCCTTAAATAGCCTTAATTCAGCTTAATTAGACCATCGGCGATCTATGGAATACGTCGTAGGGTCTGAGGTGGAGGGCTGACCTGTAGACAAACGAGATTTTCGTTTTTGTGGTTTAGGGGTTTTGGGTTTTCAGGTGGGTCTTGGGGGTTTCGGGTGCTTCTGGCGGACCTGATGTGTGTGTGTGTGTGTGTGTGTGTGTGTGTGTGTGTGTGTGTGTGTGTGTGTGTGTGTGTGTGTGTGTGTGTGTGTGTGTGTGTGTGTGTGTGTGTGTGTGTGTGTGTGTGTGTGTGTGTGTGTGTGTGTGTGTGTGTGTGGTGTGTGTGTGTGTGTGTGTGTGTGTGTGTGTGTGTGTGTGTGTGTGTGTGTGTGTGTGTGTGTGTGTGTGTGTGTGTGTGTGTGTGTGTGTGCTGGGAGTGCATATTTTTATTACTTATATTAACATGATTGCCAATCTGAACGCTTTTATTCAGTTTTTGATTAATTCTATTTTCATAACTGCCACATATAATTTATAGTATGAATTTTGTCCAGCAGATCGGTTGAGACAATCGTTCCTATGCCATGAACTAGCCGACCGGCTTGATTGCCAGCCACCCAAGCTCAAGCCCCGAAAAATTTCTGGGGTTTAGGGTTTAGGGTTTAGGGTAACCCTCAGAGCAAAAACACGGCCCCAAAAAGACCCTAACTCCCCGCCCTGGGGCGCATCCACGCCCAACGCCCTCGCGGCGGGCGGATGGCGGACGACCCAGCGCCCTCGCTGCGGCTCCTGCGGCGGCGCCTTCGACCACGCCCCTGGGTTGCTTCAAACGGTTTAGGGTTTAGGGTTTAGGGTTTAAGGTTTAGGGTTTAGGGTTTAGGGTTTAGGTTTTAGGGTTTAGGGTTTAGGGTTTAGGGTTGCTTCAAAATGACTACTTTGAAGGTTCACGGGTAGTCATAAGTAGGGTTGTAAGCAAGGTAGTTGATACTATATCCTTAATCAGGGGGGAGACATACAACCCCACTTAGAACTGCTCATGAACATTCAAGTAGGTAAGAGCTTGGGACAGTTCACAATTGCTCTTCGAGTTCATATTTCGATGAAGCGAGTTGTAATGAGCCGACATGTATGTGTGCACGTATGTAGGCATGTAGGCATGAACGTCTGCATATGTCAGCTTGCAAGTACGCAACCATACGCATGAATGCAGGTATGCGATGCACGTAAAAACCTGTCAGCTTTCCTAGCCTTAAACCCTCAACCCCCCTAAACCCCTAAACCCCGAGCCCCCAAATCCTAAACCCCTCTACACCCCCAAAAACCCCAAAGTAGGCCTAAAACCCTAAACCCCCTCGAAACGCAAAGAAAACGCTAAAGCCTAAACCCTAAACCCTAAACCCCCTCTAACCTCCGCAAAAAAAAAAAAACCCTAAATCCTAGCACCTCCCCCCCCCCCTCCCCCCCCAAACCAAAAAACCTAAGTCCTAAAACCCCCTCTAAACCACCCCAAAAAATCATAAAGGCGAACGCCCTAAACCATAAACCCCCTCTAAACCTTAAACCCAAAACCCAAAACCCAAAGCCCTAAGCCCTAAGCCCTAAGCCCTAAGCCCTAAGCCCTAAGCCCTAAGCCCTAAGCCCTAAGCCCTAAGCCCTAAACCCTAAACCCTAAACCCAACGCCCCCATCCCGGGCGAGGCTCGAGCAGTGGCAGCAGATCCGAACTCCGGGTGCCCCCGGACGAGGGTTTGGCGGTTTAGGGTTTGGGGGTTTAGGGTTTGGGGTTTAGAGTTTGGGGTTTAGGGTCCAGGGTTTTGGAGGTTTAGGATTTGGGGGTGGTTCAGGGTTATGGTTGGGGGTTTAGGCTTTTGGGCTTCATCTCAAAGCCACACGTATCCGCAGCCAATTTTTTGGGCTGACGGGCTTAAGGGCTTAGGGTTTAAAGGCTTAAGGGTTTTTATGTGTTTAAGGGTTCAATGGGTTCGGACCATACGATTCGAGTTTCAGGTTTTTGGGTTTTTTGGGGGGCGGGGGGGGGGGGATCCTTGAGGTGTCTGACGAATCCTGCTGGACCCCTTTGTGTCAGGAGACACCCCAGAAGCCCTACGGAATAGACGCCGAACCCTAAACTAAACTCGAAGCCATGAAGACTCTCAACTACAAAAATGCTCCAGCTCGCAATCGCGCAGTGCCGGAGATCTTCTCGGGGGGTCCAGCTCTTTGAGTGAAGGTGTTGGGGTTCAGAGTCTTGCATTATGCAGCCATGGCGGTAGCAGGGGGTCCTCATGTAGCCACGAGCACATAGCATGCAGCAGAGTGTAAGTGGTACACTTGCTTTCGGCTTGAGAAACAATCAGCAGATGCTCGATAGTGGGTCGTGGGTCAGCGGGTCGTAAACTTGATAGCACCTTAACAGCAGCAGGCACGACTTGGCTGACCGAGTTGGACGTGAGTGATGTTATCCCACCCAGTGCAGGGAGTCTGCGATGCCAGCAGCGAGGACAGCAAAGGCTGCCAAATTCATAAAGCACGGGAAAGATCATTGGCCTCATATCTGCGGCAAGGATGCTTGAAATGCGGCAGTTTTGGCATGCAGGCTTCGTTGTTGTTGTTCCGTGTCGCTCTATTGACAGCTGGGCCATTCTTCACAGCTCTAACCATAAGCTACAAGGACAGATTGAGTGAGAACTCGTATGGCGCTTTGCACCTCGATGCCTTCTTTGTATGGGTCTTGGGCGGACTTTGCTGCTTGAGCACCAGAAAGGTGCCAAAGATGTCGTCATTCATTCTCCACACCCGCGGCTGGTTTTTCATGATGTTCCTGACGGCCGTCTTGTCATTCTCAACAGACCGTTGCTGGAGACTGCGAGCTGGGGCCTTCGACAGTGCCTTTTACAAGCGAGCAGTTTCTGACGTAAACATCTGTCGGGTTCATGGCGGCGCAATGTGGCAGTTGCTGGTGGTGGGCATGGTTTGGCAGTGCTGGCTATTGAAGCTGCGAGTTGCGGCTCTAGATCAGGGTCGCGTGTGTAGCCGCGAAAACGCGCTTCACGGGGTCTTTATTCTACAGACGGTGCTTCTGTTTGCAGGCCTCTACTCGCGTGTGAAGTACCTTGTTCTGCGTTTCAATAGCATAGAGCCTTCCGCAGCTGATGAGCACACTGCTGGTTGGCTAAGGACCGGGAGTGTCATGCTTCTTCTAGTGGCCTTAGTTTTGACCACCATTGCTTACTTGCGCTTGCTTCCCAACGTGAAGTCTGTTGCCAAGAACGCAACAGGCAGGCAGGAGGCAGAGGCGCGCAGAGTTCTCCGCGCTTCTCGCATACATGTCATAGCATCAATGGCAGCAACAGCAGTCACTGTCATGTATACGGCTATGGACATGTGCAACAGGTTGACTGCATGGTTTGATCCCGCAGCAACTTGGCGGACTTCCGACGCTTGGGGCTGGTCTATAAAGGTCATGTTTGGAGTTGACCTGATTGTAAACGGATGCGCGATGCTCATACTCTCAGGCGGCGTGTTGGCGCAGACGGTTCCGGCGTGCTGCGACACCGGTTCCGCCAACGAAAGTATCATACCTCCTAAGCCCAGCTCCTCAGAATGTTCAGAGTGTCCTCAGTGGCAGCAGAAAGTGCGCGAGCTCTCCCAGCGCGGTCTAAGCCTAGACGCTCTGCTGAAGTTCTATGGGCAGCTGGGCCGGGACTGTATGCCACATTACCGACCCGACCTCCACACAACTGCAGATGTGGTGCGCCAAGCTATCATACCAGGCTCGGCAGCTACGGCTTTTGGCTCATGTGCTATGGCCACAGTGTTAATGCAGGGTGTAGCCACACCAGCACAGCGCATGGTCACACATGCGTGGAGCAACTTGTTCGCAGACCTAGTGGCCGCTGTTGTTGCTGACGCTCTGGACTACTCTAGCTACGCAGATGTTAGAGAACGGTTGAAGCCTGGAAAGTTAGGCCACCTTTACACAGAGCTGCAGCAGCAAGACCTCCTGCAACTGCGCTACTGGATCTGTGCTTTCTGCGTGAACCAGCATGCAGGCATCTGTGCGGGGAATCCTAATCAGGACAGGGACCCTGTAACCCTGCAACTTCATCCGGTTTGCGACTGTGGCCATCCAAAGTTTTGGAACGACACTGAGCCCTGCCGATTCGGTCGATCTGATGGTGAGAGCGTGGGATGCGAGATGAACAAGTTTTCTGACATGATGTCGCTGCTGGCTTCTCATGACCCGCTCTTTCGACAGGTGGTTGCTGTGGATCAAAAGTTCGACCTCTTCAGCCGTGCGTGGTGTGTCGCTGAAATCAGCCAGGCGTACTCATGCAACATGGGGCAGCGCCTCCTCTTCCACTCCCAGAGCAATCTGGACATGCATAGGGAAAGCTTGGATGCACTCAAAGTGGAAGAAATGCAGGCGTCTCGGCCAGAGGACGTAAAGATGATTCTGAGGAAGATCGGGGACGTGGCCCGCTTCAACGACAATCTTCGGTGGATGATTTTGGATGAAGAGAAGGGGCTCTTGAAGAGTTGGAAGGATGCCACAGACATTGCCAACGTGGTGAGGCGCATTGCGTATCGACAGCGCGCCGTGTGACGAACATGCTTCCATCCCAATCGCGGCACTTCCACAGCAAGACCAACCAAGTAGAGTGCAGTGTGGTTTCCCCTCGCCGGTCTCCCGGCCAGGCGCTCTTGTAATTCGTAATTTGCAATTGGAAATTAGTGTGCTGCAAGCAGCGGTGCCCGCCCCAAAAGAAGGGTCGCAAAGAGAGGGCCATGGAATGCCAAACAGATACGAAACTTACTGTCTGGTTGTTTGGGAAGAGGCAATTAGGTACCTATCCCCCATATAAGTATAAGCCCCTGAAGGCTTTAAGAGATTCGAGTAACCAGGAAGTTTGACCATCGCACGAAACCCCGAACCCAGCGCGTCCTCTGTTGATCTGCGCAAGGCTCTGCCTGACTCGCCCACGAAGCCTCGCAGCCGAGAAGGACCGTCAGGGTTTAGGTTAATGTTGGGTTTAAGGTTCACGGGGTTCTAGTCTTTTGTGTTTCCCACAGCCCTAGACCCTAGACCCTAAAACCTAAACCCTAGGCCCTAAACCCTAAGTTTTTTCAACAGTTCCGTATGTCCAGGGCTCCGATTCTCCAGCGCTCCGCGCTCTCAGTACCAGCTTAGCGTAGGTTTAGGCGGGCTAGGATATAAGGTGTTAGGATGTAGGACCATACGCTCGAGTCGTATGGGTAGCTGCAACTATGCTGCAAGCCACCTGTTGCGTGAGGCGACTTCGCGTGCAAAAGCCACGAAGTTAAATTGAGAGCTCCAGCCCTCCAAAACCTCGCGACCCCCAAACCCTAACCCCAAATTCAGTGGAGTTACACGTTCTCGATGATGGCGGCTCCGGGTCAGTCGTCCGGAAGGTTTAGGCCCAAGGGTTTTTAGGATTTAAGGACTCAGGGGTTAGGGGTTCAGGTGCAGGTTTTCAGGCTCTAGAGCTGCGAGGATTCAAGGTTTCGGGGGTTTAGGCAGGCGGCTGACACGCCCCCCGCACCGCTTGGTTGTACCTTTCTTTGACGTCGATGCTTGTTTGTCTTGGCCCGCGCCTTTTGTGATGTCGATGCTTGATTGAGTTTTTGTCCGCAACGGGGGGGGGGGGGGGGTTTGGGGCATTTGGGAAGTTTAGAGCAGTTTCGGGCTTAGGGAAGCTTAGGGTTTGGGGTGTTGGGGTGTAGGGAGGCGGGTTCGGGGTATAGGGCTTAAGGGGGTTGGGTCTAAGGGTTTGGGGTTTAGGGCTTAGGGAAGCAAAGAGGGTTTTATCGCTGGGGTCCCCCACGCTACCCGATGCATTCCCTACAGCTTTGGGCTTTCGGATCTCAGGTTTAGGGCTTGGCTTGTAGAGGGCGTTTCTGGGTTTGGGGCTTTGGGTCCGTTAGGCGGTTTAGGCTTTTGGGCGGTTTAAGGTTTTAGAGGAAAGACGTACGAAACACCAACCTACAATCGAATTGCCAATCATGGTGCAGACATGAGTGCGCGGGTCTCTGAATGTGGGCAGCGTGATGTAATCATAATCACGGTATGGGCTAGTATGGACTGGTCTTCGAACGTGGTCCGGGTGGACCCAATAGTAGGGGTCGGAATAATTACTAAAAAAATATTCCCTTATGGTCGCTTGTAACTATACTAAAAGAACCCCCCAAACCCTACTCGAATCATTAAGGGCCCTTTTATGAATCGTAATGCTTTCGGGGTGGACGTGACCATGGTGCGGGCATGAACGAGCGAGCCTCCGAAGCCCACCACCAAAACAACCAGGAAAAACTAGAACAAACATCCATCAAAATACGTCTGTCAACAGCTCGAGGTAGAATGGCACGACCATCAACACCGCATTCGCGGCGTAAAAATTTGCCATCAAAACGCACACCAAGAGCTCGAGTTTCGGACATGAAGCGAGACACAGCCACGACAAGTCAACGAGAAACCAAGGACAAAAAACAAAACATACTCTAGGGCGGGGTAGGAATAATTACTAATACTCTTCCCTTCTGGACTACTGGTCCCTTTATGATTATACTATAAGAACGCCCCCCCCCCCAAAAAAAAAAAACCCTATTCTAATTATTAAGGCCCCCCTTATAATTCTACTATAAGATACAAGAACCCCCGCCCCCCAAAAAAAAAACAAAAAAATGAAAACCTATTCTACTTGTTAAGGCCCCTATATTGTGCAATCTGCCCCCGGCTCCCAGGCGATGGCGCCTCGGTCGCTTACCCGCCACCGCGGCCGGCGCCCGCTGCGCCGGGACTAGGAGGCCAAGGGGAACCGCGTGGATTTCGAGGGCTTAGGGTTTAGGGTTTAGGGTTTCGGGTTTAGGGTTTTCTAGGGTTGAGGTTTTCCTGGTTTTCGAGGATTTTCTAGGGTTTTTAAAGGTGTTGAGGGTGTTCAGGGGTTTCAGGGTGCTCAAAGCTCTCAGGCTTTTGGGGGTTTTCAGGGTTTATGGTTTGGGGCTTTCCAGCTGCTTGACGTTCGTGTCTCTGAGGTTTGCGCCTTTGCAGATGCAGGTGGCTCGCGCGTTTGTTCATTCTGGCGATGCTTTGCAGGCCCCGCCAAAGAGATCGTTGTCAAGCCCAGTCCTTCTTTCCACACCGGTGCGCGCGCTTCAGCGCTAAGGTTGGGTGAAGTGGAAAACCACGGCTGTGCATGGCTGAGCCGAGCATGACATGGTAAACATTGCAGAGCGGCCCGAAACCCTCAACCCTAAACCCGAAACCCTAAACCCTAAACCCTAAACCCTAACCCCAAACCCTAAACCCCAAACCCTAAACCCTAAACCCTAAACCCTAAACCCGAAACCCGAAACCCTAAACCCGAAACCCTAAACCCTAAACACTAAACCCTAAACCCTAAACCCTAAACCCTAAACCCTAACCCTAAACCCTAAACCCTAAACCCTAAACCCTAAACCCTAGACCCTAAACCCTAAACCCTAAACCCTAAACCCTAAACCCTAGACCCTAAACCCTAGACCCTAAACCCCAAGTTTGCAGGGCAAAAAAGACACCCTTGACGCCTGGAGCCCTAAGCCTACCCTAACGCCACTGAGGGAAGCCCCTGAAATCTACTAGCTCTTAGTCGGAAATGATGGACTTCGGCGCCTTGTCTCTCACGCTTTAAGGGATTCTATGAGGTATCCCATTCCCTCATTCCTTATCAATGACCAGTAGGAAAATCTGTTGCCTCCCCTAATCCTTAAACCCTAAACCCTATGCCCCATAGACCCTAAACCCTCGACCCTAGCCCTAGACCCTAGACCCTAGACCCTAGACCCTAGACCCTAGACCCTAGACCCTAGACCCTAGACCCTAAACCCTAAACCCTAGACCCTAGACCCTAAACCCTAAACCCTAAACCCTAAACCCTAAACCCTAAACCCTAAACCCTGAACCCTAAACCCTAAACCCTAAACCCTACGTTTCAAGGGCAGCGGCCGGCACCGAAAACCCGGAGCCCCGCGAGTGCAGCCTGGAGTCCCAGGGGTGCACCTTAAAACCCTAAACCCGAAACCCTAAACCCTAAACCCTAAACCCGAAACCCTAAACCCTAAAACCTAAACCCTAAACCCGAAACCCTAAACCCCAAGCCCTAAGCCCCAAGCCCTAAGCCCGAAGTGTCGGGTTCCGTGGTTTGAGGGTCAGAACTCGGGAAGGGTGTTGGAGCTTCAAGCGTTTTGATCTGCGAGCATTCGGTTTTCTTTTCAGGGTTCACAAAACCACTGGCTGACTCACGATAGTATGCATGTTTTTCTGTTCTGTCACCCTAAACCCTAAACCCTAAACCCTAAACCCTAAACCCTAAACCCTAAACCCTAAACCCTAAACCCTAAACCCTAAACCCTAAACCCTAAGCCCTAAACCCTAAACCCTAAACCCTAAACCCTAAACCTAAAAGCCTAAAAGCCTAAACCCTAAACCCTAAACCCTAAACCCCAAACCCTAAACCCTAAACCCTATTCCCTAAACACAAGTCGCGGCGAAATCGCCGAGGCCTCTCTCAGGGCATTGCCTTCTGGCCGCGCCTCTCCTGAGGAGTGAGACGGGATATGCTTACTTGGAGGTTCATGGTACTTATTAACTAATTATAACTGCACTTATATCTGTATTTTTAATAACCATTTCAGGGCACTTAAGGGGCTTATAAGTGGGTTATAGGGACAGTTATGCTTGGTTAGTAAGTACCATGAACCTCCAAGTAGGATACGCCCACCTTGAGGAAAAGGGTCAGGAAGTCCTCAGTTGAGGGGGTTAAGGTTTGCATTTTGGGGTTTAGGTTTCAGTTGGGGTTCAGGGTTTCAGGGCTTCTTCCTAGGCAGTATGGGCTATTTATTGTGTGGGTTTCGGGTCGTTGAGCCTCTAAACCCTAAACCGTAAACCCTATACCCTTTCAGCTCAACCCTAGAAACCTTAAATCCCCTTGGGAGCCCAAAAAACCTTCAACCCGGAATCCATGGGAGCCCAAAATTTGGCCCTAGAGCGCCTCCTCTTCAACGTCAGGGAGACCCGGTAGCCGTCACCTGAGGAGCGCCCCCGATGGGAATGAAGGGTGAACTCAACTCTGTCCTCGATGCTGGTTTAGGGTTTAGGGTTTTTGGTTTTTGGTTTCAGGGTCTAGGGTTTCAGGTTTAGGGCGCCGAACACCATATGCCACCAAATGGGTGTTGGTGGTGCCATACATGCATGAGACCTCCTGCTGATGCACGGGAGGACGCCCATGAATCCAGCCAATTCAAGCTTAAGCCCTAAACCCTAAACCCTAAACCCTAAACCCTAAACCCTAAACCCTAAACCCTAAATTATTCTTAAACCCAGAACCTTCTTATTGCTTGCGTCCAACTCCGAAGTCGTAGCACAAGCTCACCACCCCCTAAACCCTAAACCCTAAACCCTAAACCCTAAACCCTAAACCCTAAACCCTAAGCCCTAAGCCCTAAGCCCTAAGCCCTAAGCCCTAAGCCCTAAGCCCTAAGCCCTAAGCCCTAAACCCTAAACCCTAAGCCCTAAGCCTTCAAGTAGACCCCACTTGGTTTAGGCTGGTT